CCCAGTATTCTCTACAGTGCTGGTTTGGTAGACATGGGTCCCTATAGCCTTGGAAATCTTTTTTTTTTCTCCTTCAACCCTGACAGATAGTTCTGCTGTGTTAAGTCATCTGGCATTTGAGATAATTTAGAACTCAGAGAATGTTGTTTCATGCTATTTTGACTTCTAAATTTTCCATTGAGAAATTAGAGCATGTCTTTACATGATATTTTTTTACTTCTCTCTTGTAGTTTGCATCACCCTTTCTTTACTCTTTCTGTTTTACTGTAACTTGCTGTGGGATGTTTATTTTCTGGTCCTATCCATTTGGTGTTCTGTGCGCTTCTTATAGCAAATATATATATATATACATATATATCCTTAGTTTTTGGAAATTTCCTTCTATGAAAATATAATCTTTATCTTGACCTGAAATTTTTCTTCTTGTATGTCCATGGCTTATAGATTTTATCTTTCCATGGTGTTTCAAAATTCCTGCAAATTCCACTTATGGGGTTTTTTAAAAACATATTTTTCTTTTCAAGATTTGTTTTTATTATTTTTGATTATGATATGTGTATATGTTTGTTGGGTTTGTGCACATGAGTGCATATGTCTGAAGAGGCCAGAGGTGTCATATCCTTCTGGAACTAGAGTTACAAGCAATTGAGCCCCCAAGTATAGGACTGCTAACTAGGGTCTTCTTCAAGAAATTTATGCATTCCTAAATGTATAATTTTCTTTGACTGAGTGGTCGACTTGCTCTTCGTGGCCTGATATTCTTCTTCTTTCTGACCCAAGTCTGTTGATGAGCCTTTCCTCTGGGTCTTTTCATTGGGTTGTTGAATTTTTCATTTCCTTGTTCAGTTGGCTTGCGTTTTCTTTAGTATTTCAGTCTCTCTGTTGAATTCACTTTTCATATTCTGAATTGCTTTCATTTGTTTTCATTCAGTCATTGGTTTGTGTTTTCTTGGATTTCAATCAGAGGATTTTTCCTGTTCTCTAAATGCATTAATTTCATCGTTAAACTTCTTGAACTCTATGAACATGTTTATAATTGCTCTTGTAAATTCTGTCTCCAGATTCATCTTGGTTGTCCTTAGTAGAGAAGATTCTTAAAAGGATCAATGGTCTTTGGAGAGATATATTACCTTGGTCTGTCATATTTCTTTTGTTTTTGTCCTAGGACTTAATACCTGGAGTGAAGTTGGTAGTTGCATGTTTGCTATGCATGCAGTTTCTAGTCCACCTGCACTGAGTGGGTGTCTAGTTCTGTTTTGCTGTTCACCATCTTAGCTAGTTTCAGATCAGGTAGGGGGCCTTGGAAGCTCACTTTTTCAGATACCCAGAAGAGAGTTTGCTGTTAAATTAATGAATGATATGGGCAAGCTATTTGTCTCCATGATCTACAGTTAGCTCATCCCTAAACATAAGGAGTTTCTCTGACTCTCTTGCTTCTTTCCTTTCTATATTTGCTTATTCTTTGATAATTTCAGGCATGCGTACAATGTACACCCTCATTTCCCCTCTCCAACTCTTCCTGAATCTCCCACCACCTTTTCACTCTCCTGACTTCATGTCCTCTTGGTTGTCTTTTATCCAGTTAGTGCTGCCCAGTATGGGTATGGGATCATCATGAAGCACAAGCAACCTGTGAAGGAACTATATGAAAAAGACTGACTTTCCTTTATTCAGCAACCATCAACTGCCAACAGCTCTTCAGCTATGGATGGTGTCTTATATGGCCAGCTCTCCTCTATCAATGCTGAAATGAATTGGGTTTACCTTGTGCAGGTCTTCTAACCTGGCCTTGACATATTTTAAGACTGGGTTATTACGTGCCACCCACTACTAACTGAAAGAGATTTCTGCTAGAGTTAGAATCTGGTTTGTTAAAGACATCAAGGTCTCAAGTCATTCTGTTATCACGCAGGTATGGAATACATTGTGCCAGAAGCTCTAGAGTCAAGTTGAGATGTAAATTCCTGAGTTTCCAATACACAAGCTAGATCAACATGAAGTGTTAGTTACCAGAATGAATATATCATGGTTCTCTTTTAAACAAGAGTGATTAATATCAAAGAGTCTTATCTGTGCTGGAAATTTATCAAGTATAAATACATATATATATATATATGAATATATATAGTATATGAACTGCATATGTGCATATATGTGTGTATTATATTATATAGTCTTAAGTGTTTGGCTCTAGACCACTGATAATATAAGGCTATGTTTGTTAATCAATGACAACAAAAAATAAGTGAATATTCCCCAGATTATATGACCGACTTTGGGAATCCCCCATGGAGGGCCTCACCCTACCTGGGGAGCAGAGAGGGGATGGGATTGGGGGCTGGTGGGAGGCAGGAGAGGAGTGGAGGGAGAGGGAGCTGGGATTGACATGTGAAGCAAGCTTGTTTCTAATTTAAATAAAAACAAGAAAATACATCCTAAGCAGGTCATATTTTAAAATATATTTGAACACCTAAACAAGTAATTGCAGACAACTACAGCATGTTGAAAACAAGAGAAGTAGTCTTCCGCCATGGAGGAACACTCTAATTGGTTATCCAGTACAAATTGGTTAGTCCTGAAATCATGCACACTGCAGTAGACAGACTCAGCAACTTGTATCTTTATATTTGTGCATTTACATATTACATACATGCAACAATAACAATTGAGGAGGAGAAGGCCAGTGCAGATATTTGGATATAGGGAGCCCCCAGTCAAATCCCAAGACTTAAAATTCACTGTCTCTCTCATTTTTCACATATATTTGTAACAAGGGGATATGGAAACGTCCTAGATGCCATTGTTATTTCTTTAGTCCGAGCTGTAACTAACAATATTTTTGAAGCACATTTTCTTGTCTACCATTATATCAAGAGCACCAAAATTTTGTTTTGTTTTTCACATTTTTAATTATTCAGCTGTCTTATTTGTCACTGTTTGGGGAATTACTGCAAACTTATGTCTAAAATGCTTCTGATTAATGCATATTTAGGCAACTAAGCAGATGCAGAATGGGCTGACTGCTTTCATAAAATTAAACATTGATGAAACATGCATTTGCACAGCAATAACGATGCCACATGTGCATAAATAATGACAGACCTTCTTCCCTAATCATCTCAGGGTGAAAATGATGAATGGGAGACAGATTTAGAAAACATGTCTGGCTTGCTATACGAACTACTTTCAAGTGTATTTGTACATGTGAATAAAATTATGTTAATTTATAGCATCTATTAACACATAATAAAAGAAGTTGTAATTAGGCTAAAAAGATACGGGTTGCATTTGTAAGGAAAAAGGGCCAGCCAAATAAACACACACTGAGCAGAGCCAAAGAAACACACTTTGACCCTGCAACCAGAACCACAGATATGCACCCTGACCCTGAAATCAGTGCCAAAGAAACACACTTAGTCCCTGGAATCAGAGCCAGTGAAAGAACCACACCCTGGTCCTAAAATTAGAGCCAAAAGGCTAAAAAGGACCAGTGGAAAAAACACAGTTTGACCCTGAAACCAAAGCCAAATCTGACCCTACACCTGTGCAGAAAACCAACCAATCCCTGAGCGGGAGATCTATTCAGTCTGAACTCAGGGATTGAAATCTGACCAATCCCCACCCTGGAAATCTCCCTGGAAAAATTCTGCACCTTAAGAAGCCCTATATATAAACCCTGTTCTTGTTCAGCTTGTGACTGTTCTGGCTGCCTGGCTGTCCTCTGCCACCCTGACAGAGAGCACCCACTCTCCTGGATTCTTCCCTCCCAATAAATCTCTTGAATGATTTGGGTGAGACTTTCTTTTGCCTGAGCAGAGACAACCCTGAGAGGAGCAGAGTGGAGCAGAGCTGTAACACTTTTCACTGGGGAAACCTTCCCCTGGTGAACTGAAGTTGTAACACCAGCTCTCCAGGAAACTGGAGCTGACCTGTAACGACTTTGCCAGGGAAACCCCTCCTGCTGGAGCAGAGCTAATACACTGAGGAAGCCCTTCCCTGGATCAGGGTTGTAAGCTGCTATTCTTACTGTGACCTATGGTATTCCTTGGCTTCCAAGTGTCAGAATCCCTTTGTATCTGAGCTGCAACACTCAATATTCTTTGACCCCCAAGTGCCAGAATCTAGCCCTGTCCATCCCATCCAAGCCGTCGAAATGCTTCCAATACCAGAACACGATTCAAGTATATGTTATAATTTCCAGGGCTTTTTTATAAATCATAGAAAATATGCATTTTAGGGTAATCTGATACAGTATTGCAGATTAACTTTATACAAGATATGTTCTGGGGTCATAAGTCACTCTAAGATATATCTTTGCACGTCTGGGATTGAAATCTATCTTGTGATTGATAGCATGTTTCAGTTTGATTGGCAGGCTTTTTTTCTCTTTTTATGAGTGATGTGATCTTAAATTCAGTTGTTGAGGACTGTGATCCCTGGGACTTTATCCCAAAAAGAACACCTCAGTGAGTGAAACAGATCAGACAGGAAAGGCATTTCATCTCTTGCCATCAGTCAAGCAAGAAAGGAGACCAATGGTAAAGAATTCAAATCAAAGAGGACATCAGCTTTCACAGAGCCAAAGGGCAAACAGGAGAACTCTGCATGAGATTAGGAAAGGCCAGTGGAAAGATGGGAAGCTGACAGAGGTGATGAAGTGCCTAGACAGAAAGGGCAGCGATGGCTCCCTGTGACAAAGGTCGGACCCCACCTGTGGTGTCCTGTAGTGGACATTCAACTTGATGTTGTGTTCAGCGGTGGGTTTCAAGTTGATATTGTGTCTATGTGGGTTCCAGTATCAGGCCCTGTGATAGACAATCAAGTTGCCATTCCTGTTATGATGACACATTGGTCAATCAGAGGTCTTAGAGGATGGGCGGGACCTTTTAGAAACTCATTTGAGCAAATGTTTTCTCTTCGACATAAACACACACTTCTTGAAATGTGTATTTCACTTAAAAGGCTTAAATGGTTGTTAAACAGTCTCTTTGTTCTTTCAGGTAATATCAAGATTATCAAACAAGTCGGCGGTCTCACAGGTATGGCTGGCATTAGTTTTATATTTTTTATTTTGGTTTTGCTTTGCTATGCGGCCAAAGCTGACCTAGAATCAACCATGGTCCTGCATGTTTTGTTATCACTCAGTTCTAGTGACTGGCCTCATAGAATGAGTTTTGGTAGTGTTCTTTCTCTTTCCAGATACAGAACATTTTAAGGAATCTTGTTATGTGTTCATTAAAGTTTTGATAGAATTCAGCAGTGCGTCCAGACCTGGAATTTTCTTTGTAGGGAGGCCAAGATAACCCCTCAAGCCCCATTTCTTGCTTACATTGTTTATATTTGGGCAAGCAAAATATATAGTATTTTATCCATTTCTTCTATATTAAATAATAAAGTTTCTGAACTATTGTTTTCAGTCCTTAAGATTTCATTTGAATTATTTATAATTTTATTAATTTGGGTTTTGTTTTACTTTTGGTTCTTCTGACTGAAGGTTGCCAATTTTCTTATCATTTCAAAATGTTAATTTTTGTTTGCTTGATTCTATGCATTGTACTTTTGGTCTCCATTTCATCAATTACGCCCTGGTCTTTATTATTTCTTAATGCCAACTGCTTTCACATTCAAATTGTTGTGGTAATGCCACATTAAAGAAATGTATCTACTGATTTAAGCCACTTAAACGAGAGCCTCGTCTGAGCTGTTTGCTTCTTTCCATGTGTCCTGTTTGTCTTTGTTGTGCCAGCCACATAGATCACACTACTCCTTATTGTTGAACATCACATGTAACATGGTACACGAAAGGAATGAGAAATCTTTATCTAATTTTTTTGCCAGAGTTTTACAAGAGAAATAGTCTACTCACCTGAATTACATACAAAACTGCAAACAGATGTTATCCATCTGTATTCACACATTGCCTCCAATATTTATTATGGCTAAATCATTGCTTACGATGTCCACTGCTTTCAGCAGTGATATCAATGATATTATATTTAACCACTTCTCTCTCTCTCTTTCTCTCTCTCCCTCCCTCCCTTCCTCTCTCTCTCTCTCACACACACACACAAACACACACAAACACACATGCACGCACACACACACACACATGCATGCGCATGCACGCATGCACACACACACACACACATGCACGCACACTATTCTGTGTCAGAGGCATGAGAGGGTCATAGTTTAAAGTTAAAGCATTGCATTCAGTGTCCCAGGCTTTTTCTTTTAAGCTCCCAAATCATGATAACAGAGACTTCTGATTAGTCATGAATGCTTAGCTCTTATTTCAATCTGTTTCTCTTTATCTTCATTTTGCCTCATGGCTTACCTTTCTTTCTTTGTATATGTCTTACTTTCCTGCTTCCTCCAGTGTCTTTCTCCTTTATTTTCACCTCCTTCTTTTCTCTACTGAGCCTAGATTTCTTCTCCTACTTTCTCTGTCTTCCTGACAGCCCTGCCTTTCCCCCTCTGCCCAGCTATTGGCCATTCAGATTTTCATTTGAGTAAGTAGGCAGGCAAGATCTAACGAATGTAACCATTTTTACATAATTAAACAAATGCTACACAAACAAATGTAGCACATCTTTACATTGTTAACAAAAGCAGCATTAACAAATGTAATAAACCTTCACAAGATTAAATACTCCACAGAATAAACCTATATAACATATATTAGCCTAGTTAAAATAACATTCCAGGCACACGGCAGATCCAGATCCCAGACCAACGGGATTCAGCACACCCAGAGACTGCAAGCTTCCAAGTCCCATTCTCCACCCACAGGACAGGTGAGGTAAGCATGGACTGTCTCCAGCCTGCCTTCCGGTGCCCTGAGGAGAACCACTGGAGACCAGGAGACTGCATACAGCTGATCCCAACCTGACAGTATTCAACCTGCCCAGAGACTGCCAGCACCATAGTCCCTTTCTCCACCCATGGGCTAGATATGCCCAGGCCTGTTACAGCCTGCCTTCTGGTGATCTGCACACAACTAGCCAAGGCCCCCATCCCAGCAGGAGCCAGACCACCCAGAGACTGCCAGAGTTCAAGTCCCATTCTCCATCCAGGGGACAGGTGAAGGTCCAGCCTACCCAGAGATTGCCAAGGTACCAATACTAGGACGACCTCTATGCATACAAGAGAAAAGTCACCAAGGTATTGGACCTGCTCCCACCCACTGGAAAGGAACCATGGTCACATACTCACCAGGAGAGAAAGAGACTACTTCTGCACCCACAGGAAAAAATGATGGGAAGGAGACAATATGAAAACACACCCAGCAACAGAAAAACTAATATGACACCGCCAGAAACTAGAGAATCTACACCCGCAAGACCTGGACAGCACATTGCGGAAGAAGCAGATGAGAAAGACCTTAAAACAATTTCATGAAAATGATAGAAGCCCTCAAAGAAGATATGAGAAAATCCCTTAAAGAAATGGAAGAAAAAATCCCAAAAATGCAAGAAATGGAGGAAAAAAACAAACCCAAAAATTCAACAAATGCAAGAAAGAGAGGAAAAGACAAAGCAAAAATTGCAAGAAACAATTCAAACAGTGCAAGGGTTGAAAGCTGAAATAGAGGCAAATAAAAAAACCACAGTCTGAAGGAATGCTGGAAATAGAAAAGCTGGGCAAATGGTCAAGTACTACAGATGCAAGCAAAAGCAACAGAGTACAAGAGATGGAAGAGAGATACATGAGGGGAAATAGATTCATTGATCAAAGAAAATCTTAAGTCCAACAAATCCCTAATACAAAATATCCAGGAAATATGGGATAATGTGAAAAGAACAAACCTAAGAGTAATAGGTATAGAAGTAGGGGCAGAAAACATATTCATCAGAATCATAGAAGAAAACTTTCCCAACTTAAAGAAATACATGCCAATAAAAGTATAAGAAGCCTACAGAACACTAAATAGAGTGGACCACAAAAGGAAATCCCCTTGCTACATAATAGTAAAAACCCTGAACATACAAAATAAAGAAAGAATATTAAGAGCTGCAAAGGAAAAAGGCCAAGTAACATACAAAGGTAAAACTATGAGAATCACACCTGACTTCTCCATGGAACCTCTGAAAGACAGAAGGTCCTGGTAGATATTCTACCAACACCTAGAGACCACAGATGGCAGCCCATACTTCTATACCCAGCAAAGCTTTCAATCACTATAGATGGAGAAAAACAAGATATGCCATGACAAAACCATATTTAAACAAAATGTATCCACTATCTCAGCCCTACATAAAGTTCTGGAAGGAAAACTCCAACCCAAGGAAGTTAACTACAACCAGAAAAACATAGGCAATAGATAATCCCACCTTACCAACAGCCAGAAGAACAAACAGGTGGAAATCCACATATAGTTCCACCACCATCAACCATCCCAAAGCAAACAAAAATGAGCAATCAATGGTCATTAATATCCCTCAATATCAATGGTGTTTACTCGCCCATAAAGAGACACAGGCTAACAGAATGGATTGGAAGACAGAACCCACACTTCTGCTGCATACAAGAAACACATCTCAGCCTCAAAGACAGACATTACCTCACAGTTAAGGGTTGGGAAAATATTTTTCAATTAAATGGACCCAAGAAACAAGCAGGGGTAGCAATCCTAATATCTAACAAATTAGATTTTAATAAAATCAATCAAAAGAGATGAAGGAGGGCATTTCATACTCATCACATGAGAAATTCACCAAGATGAAGTTTCAATTCTGAACATCTATTCCCCCAATGCAAAGGCATCCAAGTTCATAAAAGAAACATTACTAAAACTCAAATCACATATAAAGTCCCACACACTTATAGTGGGAGATTTCAACACCCCACTCTCACCACTAGACAGGACTACCAGACAGAAACTTAACAAAGAAGCAAAGAAACTATTAGAAGTTATGACCCAATTGGGATTAACAGACCTCTATAGAACATTCAATCCAGATAAAAAGGAATATACATCCTTCTCAGTGTCACGTGTAACCTTCTCAAAAATCGACCACATACTTTGCAACATATCAAACCACAACAGGTACAAAAAATGGAATAACTCCATGCGCATTATGCATTAAAATTAGAATTCAACAACAACACAAATTGCAGAAACCCTACAAACTCATGGAAATTGAATAATACACAATTGCACCATTCCTGGCTCAAAGAAGAAATAAAAAAATAAATTAAAGACACAACATACCCAAACTTATGGGACACTTTGAAAGCATTACTATGGGGGAATTTCATAGCACTAAGTGCCCACATGAAGAAACTGGAGAATAGTTACACTAGAGAATTAACAGCACAACTGAAAGCTCTATGACACAAAGAAGCAAACTCACCCAGAAGGAGTATAATGAAGTAGAGGGCTGAAATCAGTAAAGTAGAAACCAGGAAAACAACACAAATAATCAATGTAACCAAGATTTGATTCTTTGAAAAAATCAACATGATAGACAAACTTTTATCTAAACTTACCAAACTGCAAGTGTGAACATGCAAATTAACAAAATCAGAAATGAAATGGGGGACATAGCAACGGACACTCAGGAAACCCAGAAAATCATCAGGTCATACTTTGAAAAACTGTATTCCACAAAATTTGACAATCTAAAAGAAATGGACAATTTTCTGGATAGCTATCACTTGCCAAAATTAAATCAAGAACAGATAAGCAATTGAAGTAGATGTATAGCCCCTAAGGAAATAGAAGCAGTCATCAAAAGTCTCCCAACCAAAAAAAAGCCCAGGGCCAGTTGGCTTCAGTGCAAAATTCTACCAGAAATTCAAGGAACAGCTTATGCCAATTCTTCTCAAAGTATTCCATGCAATAGCAGCAAGAGTGTATTTGCCAAACTCTTTCTGCAACGCTTCAATAACCTTGGTAATCAAGCCATACAAAGACACAACTAAGAAATGTTCCTCATGAACATTGATGCAAAAATACTCAATAAAACACTGGCAAATCGGATCCAGAACACATCAGAAAACTCATCCACCATGATCAAGTAGGCTTCATTCCAGG